CTTATTATAAAAAATAAAAAATAAAAAAAAAGAAATTTTTGATTCAGCTATTTGCAGGACAGCATCTGGCTGTGTGTTAAATTGGCAGATCTGTGAAATTGCCATGTGGTAAATATGATTGATGTAATTCAGTAGTGAATCAAAGGAAGAATGGACAATTGGACCTTCAGTTAAAGGAAAGTGCTGAAACTTCCACAATGTGATGCTAGCTTTGGAGCAAGTTAGATATAACACTGATTTGCAAAATCTAATTAGGGATGATTTTTCGTTATGTGGTAGTCTTCTAGGGTGAGTGCACATGCTTGCTCTTGGTTTTTTGTATATTTTTAAGTTTAAAATACAAAAAGATTTATGGGCTATAGGAAATAATTTTTCCTTATCTGTTTATTATTTGTTTTAGATAATCATTTGACATTCCCTCCCCTTTAAAAAATGCTTAAATTAGAAGATTAATTTTGTTAGGAACTGAACTGAGAACAGAAATTATGTAAGCTGTTGAATTGTTAACCTGTCTGTTGGGATATGGCCTTTGAGCTTTAGTTAAACTAAATTGGAAGTGCCTGTAGTTTCACAGATGTTTTGAGTGAGCACACTACCGTGAAATTAAGCTTCATCTTATTTAAGATAAACATCCAAGATTCATTACTTCGTTTTTTTTTAAAAAAATAATTTAATGTTGAAGTGAGATGTTATCCTCCTTTATTTCCATAAAATAAATAATTATAATGAAAGCTGACTAATTTACAGCCCTAAAGAGGATTTGACTTCTCAGCTCCTTATATCTTGGAATTTATTTTCCCAAACCAGAATTGGCCTTGCACATGATGAAGGGCTGCGATATTCTGTGCCCATTTCTGAAGCTCAAAGAGCCTTGGAGAGTTGAAGTCTGACTGCCAATTTCTGTCAGAGATGGTGCATGCCCAGTTGCAAAAGACTTCCTATAAAATAACTAAAATCCTCAGCCTTGTGGATTTTTAAGAATTATCCCAGCATGGAAAACTAAACATAATTGTTAACCATTTATATTCTGGCTTTCTAAGGAATGTTTGTAGTTTAGTTATAGATTCCATTAACCTTTGTATTGTACATGCACATACAGCCATGCCCACACAAATACATGAACACTTCCCTGTTTTCCTTTTTTTTCTTAATAATTCTTTTCTTTTCCATGTGTCTTCTTTTTAAAATATGAATCCTTCTCTTCTTCCATTACAATCTGGAGTAGGTTGTGGTTGCCAACCATAAAGCTTTTCTTCAAGTACAGCTACCTCCAGAATACCATAGTGGTGGTATGATGGGCAAAGTATGTATCATTCTTTTACTCTGCTTTACATTTTATAAATGTTGCTATATGCTTGCTTTTCTGTCCTGGTTTTGAAGTAATTACTTCTTGAACATTTTAAAAATAGTTCTTCTCAGTTAGTTTGTGATCTTGAAGTAGCCAGCATTCTTGACCGGAGTCTCTGCCGCTAATTCTTTTAGGCTAGCAGCCTTGGGAACCAGTAGCCTGCTTCCTTAATCCCAGGTGCTGTGAGACACAGAAAGGATCCCTGGCGCTAGCATTCCCAAATTAGTATGATCCCAGGGACATAACTGAGATGAAGAAGAACCCATTTTAACTATGCATCACACTGTCTTCCAAGACTCTTAGTGTAATGACAATATGTTCCAACTTCTAAAATTAAACGTTAAACTTCTTAATGCAACCATATTGCAGTTATTTCGATGACCACATAATGAAGTTTATAAGATTAAACCAAAATATTTTTATTTAGTATTGAAATATTTTATCTCGGTCCTTAATGCTGCCAGTATATTGAAGAATTGAACATGATCCCACAGGCAATATATCTGATAAGCGGTGCAAGTAATTTTACCGAATGATGTGTATTCATTCTTTGAAGATAATGTCTGCCTTGTCTGGTGTGTGGAATACAGTTGTTTTCTGCTTGCAGTACAGACGTTCCCCGTGCACATACTGCAGTGGAAAAAGATGTGATATTTCCATAGAATCCCTTTTACTTGGGGCAAGGATTTTTAAGCTTGTTTCAATCTGCCCATTTATAGTCACAGCAGCCTTTTACCCTAAATGGGCATCCGCTGAAATAAGAAATGCAAAATCAAAGATAGGACATTTTCATGTGTAGCACATATTTATGAAAGTTTGTTTCTAATAAGCCTTCTGTGACACCTTCTTCTTCCTTTCTATTTTCCTTCTCAGCACCTGTCCTTTTAACACTTCTTAAATTCTTTCTTACAGTATAGTACAGCATTTTACTATACTTAACAATATTTTTGTGGGCTTAATAGTTAAGCACAAAACTCCCATTGTTTTATTGATTAGGGTTGTATTGTAAGCTGTCAGCTGATAAGTAGAGAGAAAACTTATTTATATATGTTAAACAGAATATAGTGACAGGTATTAGCTCATACTTCCCCAACATGGCCTCCAATAAATTGG